GCAGATAAGTTTTTCATTTTAAGTCTTTTGTTACTATGTAATTTTTTTTTAACTATGTGCATGTGTTAACTTGGTAAAATGTTTTGGAAAAAACTTAATTGAGTTCAAGTACCAGCTGAGTTTTTCATTGTGCTGTCTACTTACCTCTCCACCCTGCTCAGTGGCAGATAGGAATCCATCTTCTACATCATCCAGAAAGTATGCATACTACCTCTAGGGAAACTTCAGGGAATGTATAAATGAAAATCCAAGGAAATAATCCAGGGAAGCCACTTTTCTCCAGTAAGTGATCAAGGGCAGCTCCAAAAATCCTATAGAGAAGGTTAAGTTTAGGGCTAGGGAGAATAGTAGGGGGCTTCACCTTGCTTTGAGGCTATATATGCTAAGCCACTGTTATTACTTGGATTACTTGGTAGGAGAGATACTTACAGAGATGTAGGGCGGCTAAAACCTCTTCTGCATTGCTGTTTATATAGATGTAGAGCTTGCATTTTAGATGAGACCTTAAATACTTTGAAAGCCCAGCTGACCAGGAATGGTACTTTCTCTCTTAGAGGAGTTTTCTGTAGCTCAGTATAAACATCTGTACTCCTAGCTCAGCTCCTTCACCTACAAAGAATATTGGAAACCTGGAAAATAGATGTTATGAAATGCTAAGATCACTGAAAAGAACGTCGCTGGGGAGAAGGCAATCTTACCACTTTGATGAGGAGGATGCTGATAAGTTCTTTTTGGTAGAGCAGAATGGTTAGGCTCATTTTAAGCTCCAAATGACTGGTCAATTTTCTTTTCATTATATGTTTGAAGGATTCTAAATGTGGTGAAGGAAATAGCTTCAAAATTTCATCTTAAATGCATAATAATGGAAACAATTCCTATGACATCAATAGAGGACTGGCTTAAGAAATTACGGTGCAGCTGTTCACTGGAATGCCATGCACTCTTTAAACAAAACAAAAACATTAAAAAAAAAACCCAAAATGAGAAAGATACTTATGTACTGACATGGAAAGACCTTCAAGAATTTGTCATAAAAATGTTTTTTAATGGGAAGATTAGTGTGTACTTTAGGTTACCTCTTGTGTCAAAGTGGTGGAGAAAGAAGAATCTTTTGCTTAAATACACATAAAGAAATACTGAAAAGATACATAGAAGTAATTGTAGTTCCTTAAGGGAGTGGGGGGGATGAGACTGAGCAGCTGTGAGATGGGGGTGCAGGGGGAAGATTTTTTCACTGTGTAATTTTTATGCTTTTTGCATCATTTGAAGACATGATCTAAAAAATTACAAATAAACAGAAAAGTTATACTAAAAGCTTAGTGTTGGGGCTCCTGGGTGGCGCAGTCGGTTGAGCGTCCGACTTCAGCCAGGTCACGATCTCGCGGTCCGTGAGTTCGAGCCCCGCGTCGGGCTCTGGGCTGATGGCTCAGAGCCTGGAGCCTGTTTCCGATTCTGTGTCTCCCTCTCTCTCTGCCCCTCCCCCGTTCATGCTCTGTCTCTCTCTGTCCCCAAAAAAAATAAATAAATAAACGTTGAAAAAAAATAAAAATAAAAGCTTAGTGTTTTTAACTACTACTTAATGTGGGGCTCTAACTCACCAACCATGAGATCATGGCCTGAGCCAAAATTGGAAGCTTAACCAACTGAGCCACCCAGGTGCCCCTTATATCACCCACTTCTGAGCTATTATCAATATAGATCAGCACTGTCCACAAGAGATGTTCTGCAGTGATAGAAATGTTTTGTGTCTGCAGTTATCTATATGCAGTAGCCAAGAGCCACAAGTGGCTATTTAAGTGCTTAAAATTCAGTTACTCTAAGAACTTATTTTTAAATAGTATTTAAATTAATTTAAATTTAAATAGCCACATGTGAACAGTCCAGGTAGTTATATAAATCTGATTAAGCAATAAAGGCACTGCTCAGGTCTACTGTTATCCTGAGCTATTGAAATAAACTGTATATAAAAATTCTCCCTTCTGAGTCATTTCTTCATTCAACAAATAAGCAAATACTATGGGCCGAACACGATGATATTTCCCAGGGATAGTCCCATGAACATAACAGACTAAATGCCTACCCTCATAGAACTTACATTCTAACACCAAAGATCAGCAAACTAGAGCCGTGAGTTAAATCCCACCCTCTACCTGTTTTTATACAGGCTGCAAACCAAGAATGGTTTTTACATTTTAATTTTCTATAAATATTATAACATAAAAATATAAACATTTTTTGTTTTTTGAAACATTTGAAGACATGATCTAAAAAATTACAAATAAAGAGAAAAGCTACAACACTGAAAACCTAGTGTTTTTAACTACTACTTAACAACTCCTTTCAGCTGAATGAAACCTGATGCTAATTCTGTAATAAGGGAGATGGCTGCCAAATGTATGGGATTTATCTTTATATAATATTTATAATTTATATTATATTATAAATGTTTTTTTCATTTTTGAAAAAGTCAAAAGAGGAATAATAATTCATATCACATGAAAAATATATGAAATTCAAGTTTCAGTATCCATAAATAGGTCTTTTTTGGAACATAGCTATGTCTATTTAGTCATGTATTGTCAATGGCTTCTATCTCAACCAGAGTTGAAGTAAGCAGTTGCCACAGAGATCATACATATGGCCCAGAAAGCCTAAATTATTATCTGGCCCTTTACAGAAAAGGTTTGCCAACCGCTGCTCTAGAGAGTAGTAATATGCTAGACACCATGATAAGCACTTTGTTTTTTTTTTTTTTTCAACGTTTTTATTTATTTTTGGGACAGAGAGAGACAGAGCATGAACGGGGGAGGGGCAGAGAGAGAGGGAGACACAGAATCGGAAACAGGCTCCAGGTTCCGAGACATCAGCCCAGAGCCTGACGCGGGGCTCGAACTCACGGACCGCGAGATCGTGACCTGGCTGAAGTCGGACGCTTAACCGACTGCGCCACCCAGGCGCCCCAGCACTTTGTATGTATTATCTCATTTAATCTTTGGGACAATTCTCTCTGACAGGGGTTCTATTAGTCTCTACATTGGCAAAACAGAAAACCGGGTTCTGAAAATGTGCATTTCTAACTAGCTTCCAGGTTATGCTGATGCTGCTGGTTCACAGATCACAACCTCTGAATCAGTGATTCTCCACCTTGATTGCATGTTAACATCCTCTGAGGAAATTTTAAGAATATGCTGCCCAGGCCCCATCTTCCAGAGATTCTGATTTAATTGGTCTAATACCCAGATATCGGTATTTTTAAAAAAGCTTTGCTGGTGATTCAAATATACAGCCAGGTTGAGAATCACTGCTCTACTGAAATCCTATTGAACAACAGTAAAGAGAACATTCAAATGAGAATCCAAAGACGTGAGTTCTAGTTCTAACTCTGATATGACATATTGAAGCAAGTTGCTTCCCTTCTCCAGGGCTCTGTTTTCTCTGCAGGTGAAAAATGGGGAGCTCAAACCAGATGATCTCAGAGGGTTCAAGTTCAGTGACTTGTCTGGTCTTCACATAAACAGGTGGGAGGGTCAGAAGAAGAACCCAGATCTTATAATGCATTGGGTGCAGCAACATGATGCCCAAACACCAGACCTATTTAGGATAAAACTGATGGCTGACATTATTAATTATTGTTTGGCAACATATCAGTATAGAAACTCTCCCACATAGCCATGCTGCCTTACACACCACATAGCTAGAATTGCAGTTAAAAATGATTTAATGATTATGAGAGTAGTATTTCATTGTAGGAAATTTGGAAGATTACAGAATGTATGAAGAAGAGAACCCTACAATCCCTAGAACCATGTTTTTAATAACTTTGTTTATGAGACCTCAGCCAAGTAAATGACATCATGATCAAATGATTTCCCACAGAAGCAGGGGGGCTCAGTGGCCTGAAGGGTCCTCCCCCACAAAAGTCCTAAAGGTTAAAGCCCTATTATTACATCTCCCGTAAATGCAGCTCCAAGCCTGGACTGGAAGGTTGTGTGGGCTCCTACTGGGAGCATGGGAACTATGTCCTATAAACCAAAGGACTTTTGACAGTTCTTTCATGACTAATTGGTACTGGGATACTCTCAGTTTTCTCACTTATGGATTACCCACTGTGGAAATTTCTCCTGAAAATGTCTGTACAACTCTTGAAATGACGGTGAAAGATTAAATTAGATAAGCAGGCTTGGCCCTTTGCTTTCACTGAGAGTAACTGAGTGACCCAGATCTTCACTTCTTTAGAAATGCATATGGGAGGCAATAGTATGTAGTACATAGTCAGGAGAATGGGCTGGGACCAGACAGTTCTAGGTTCAGATCCAACTAATGCCTCTGTTGTGGACTGAATGTGACCCTTCCAAATTCTTATGTTGAAGCCCTGACCCCTGAAATGTGATGGTATTTGGAGGTGGGGTCTTTAGGAGGGAATTAGGTTTAGAGGAGGTCACAGGGTGAGGCCCCAATAATGGGTTTAATATTTTTATAAAAGGAGAAGAGAAACCAGAGCTCTTGCTCTCTCTACCATGTGAGGAAACAAAGAGAAGGTGGTCATCCACAAGTCAGGAACAGAGCCCATACTGGGAAACTGAACTGGCCAGCACTTGGTCTTAGATTTCCCAGCCTCCAGAACTGTGAGAAATAAGTGTCTATTTTTTGAGCCATCCTGTCTATGGTATTTTGTTATGGTGGCCAGAGTTGACTAAGACAGCCTTGCTTCGTCATTTTTTCTTTCTTTAAACAGAAATGATAATAGTATCCATGTCACAGAGTTACTCTGACGATTTAGTGATAATTTGTATGTAAGTGAAACAAAGTACAGTGTTTAAAACATATTGAGTGCTCAGAGAATGGCATTTTTAGGATGATTGTTAGTAATAATAATAAAACTTAGATATTTTGGGGTATAGCTACCTTTAGGAGAGAGACAAATACATATCCTTTTACATGTCTTTTAGATGGATTAGTTTCTGTGGAAACCCTGCGTGCTAACACATCCAGCAAGACTGATGCTACCTCTTGTCACTATGAAGACATTACTTCGTGCCAAGTGTTTTTGGCGCCTAGCAATCCCTGGTTCTGTGAGAGAACTGCATAAAGATTATAGAATAGTGCCTCCTCAGAATTTTTCCAACTATGAATCCATGAAACAGGAATTCAAACTGGAGACTCCAGAGTATTTCAACTTTGCTAAAGATATCCTGGACCAATGGACCAATATGGAAAAGGTATGAAGCAAGGGCCAGTCCAACTACAGTTTCTCAGATAGAAGTGATTTTGCCCCCAGGGGATATTTGGCCATGTCTGGAAACAATTTTGTTGCCATGACTTGTGAGAAGGTGTGTGCCAATGGTTAGAGGCCAGGGATGCTGCCACACATCCTCTAATACATAAGACAGTTCCCCATGGCAAAGAATTATCTGGCTCAACATGTTAATAGTTCCATGGTTGAGAAAGGTGATGGTTATAAAAATGCATGATTATAGGTTAACTTCTTAAAAATCCAGAAAGGACTCGAAAGAAAATCATTCCAAGAGTCAGAAATGGTAGGAAACAAGACATAGACATGTCACTGAGAGAATATAAAGGGATGCAAGAATTCTAACTTCTTGGAAAGAAAAGCAATCAGGCTAAATGAGAAATGACATATGCTGGAAGAAATGACATGGCTCCCAACAGCTAGAAATAAAGACTCTAGAGTTATTTCCCAATATTCCATGTGTGTCTTAACTAATGACCTGTGAATTTTATTCTGGAAAAAATATTCCATTAAGTCAGTTAAAATAGAATTTAGCTGCATAATGACCTTTAAATCCATGACTGGTTTGTCTTTCCTCAGGCTGGAAAGAGACCTTCCAATCCAGCCTTCTGGTGGATAAATGGAAATGGAGAAGAAGTGAGATGGAGTTTTGAAGAACTGGGATCTTTGTCTAGAAAATTTGCCAATATACTTACAGAAGCCTGTGCCCTGAAAAGAGGAGATCGAGTAATTGTGATTCTGCCCAGGATCCCAGAATGGTGGCTTGCAAATGTAGCCTGTCTGCGAACAGGTTAGTAGTGCTTGCAATCTGATTATATTTAAAATAGGCTAGATGGGAGAGTTTCCAAAACATCTAAGTAATCATGAGACATTCATTTGGGTAAATTATTTGAGGAACTATACACAATATAGTAGTATTCTCAGAAACCTTAGAAATGTGTTGGAAACATTTTCTATCTTTTGACTTAAACTATGAGTTGGGTTTTTCATAATGAAATTAAGTTTATTTTTTTAATTAAGTTTATTTTTTTAATTAAGTTTACTTATTTTTGAGAGAGACAGAGAGTAGAGAAGGGGCAGAGAAAGAGGGAGAGAGAGATTCTCTGTGCTGTTAGCACAGAGCCCGATGTGCTGCTTGTACTCACAAACCCTGAGATCATGACCTGAGCCAAAACCAAGAGTCAAGACTCTTAACCTACTGAGCCACCCAGGTGCCCCATGAAATAAGTTTATTAACCAAATGCCAATCAACAATTGAATACCCTCATACCTACCACTCTTCTCCTCCTATAGACTCATGGCCATCTGAATCTCAATGCAGCCACAAACTCAAAGAACCTACCCTAGTTCTTCTTTCATGCCTTTATTTCTCTCAAGGTTAATTACCATTCATCTGGTACCCTAAGCCAAGCAGCTGCTACTCCTCCTTCCAAATCAGTTCCTGCATCTTGTAAATTTGACTTTCTACGTGCCTCTTGAGTCCCTCTTCTTCTCCAATTCCATCGCCATTGCCTTACTTCACGTGTTTACCATCTCCTGAATGGACTTGCCCAAAAGTCTTCCTAATTCTGGTCTTGTGTGTGCCCACTTTACTCCTACGCAATTCATTCTCCATAGCTACTGTTCTTTCTAAAATGCACATTCTATCCTGTCAGTATGCTGCTTGACATGATTTAATAACTCTCCATTGCCTACCTGGTAACATCTGAACTTCTTTAGTTTGTCATGGAAGGTTTGAACTATCTTCCCTTCATTGTTTTCATACTCTGTGCTCCAGGAGTAGCAAGTGGTTTCCTATAAGGTTCATGATCCTTCCCATTTCCTGGCTTTTGTGCACATTGTTTCCTATGTGTGGAAAGCCTTTTCCTCACACCTAACCTCCTGGACAACTATTGGATTTTCAGGTCTTAATTCTAATGTCACTTCTCAGGCAACCCCACCCTGATGTCCCAATTAGGTGCTTTCTTTTTTGAGCTCCCCTAAAAAACATGTATGCATTTTTATTTTAACCTGTACTATGTTGTCTGGGTATATCATTTGTTCATAAATTTGTCATTCCCATAGGACTATGTATGTTCCTAAAAGGCAATGACTATGAGATAGTCGTGTCTGTGCCTCCAATTGTTGACATATAGTAAATGCTCAGTAAAATATTGGTTGAATTAATTCATATCCCTACCGTTATAATAAATCATTATATTAAGTAAGCATTCTTAATTTATCATAATAATTACTTGCAATTGAGGAGAGTTATACATTCCATATCATATATACATATAAATTATACACTGGAGTAGCAGAACCCACTTTTACAGTTTTTCTTTTTTAACAAAATGATAGCTTTCATGAATGCTGCTATACTCATTGTCTTAGTAAGGGGAATGTTGGATTTCCAAGACCAGAAATCCATTCATATTAGTTCAATTAAGGAAGGATAATTATTGGATGTCTACTGAAGAATCTCACAGAAAAAAAAGTGCAGAAAGAGCAACTGGCCTCTGCAAGGGAGGCGGGCAGCTTCTTTCTCTATTTCTTTTGCTTTAAAGCCATAGGGCCTCTTGTCTCTGCCTCTCTCAAGCATCTGTTCTTTTGACATCTGCTAACACATGATTTCTTTGCTGCCTTCATTTTGGCTGACATGTGGCTTTGGTTTGCCACACAGATGCCTTAAGTCCTAACTCTGTATGTTCTCAGTCTCTTAAATCAAATATTTGAGGCAGAATCTGATTGGCATGGCTTGGGTTAGGCCAGTCAGATGTGGTCAGAGGCAAGTTCATCTGGTACAAACATGGTTACTGAGGTTACAGAAAGTAAGGCAGAGTCTCTTAGAAGGGAGGATGAAAGGGAGGCAATAAATGGTAAATCTAATATACTAACAATTCTGAAAATAAGCATTACCTACCACCTCGAGGGATGGGTAGATGGACTAGGCTTTCAAATCCTGTTGCCAAACTGAATGATGGGAGTTACTTCTTTTGTCCACCAAACAAACTTCTGTAAAAATTTTGTCCTTTCATGTAGATCTGTTAACAGGGAGAAAAGGGGCTACGAGTGTCAGTCTTTTGACCCTTCATGCAAAAATTGGTAATATCATCTTATACACCCTATATCACAAACATGGTAATGAGAGGCCTCCCCCAAGATTTAAAGTAACATTTTGTTCCCTGACAAGAAATAATGTAATGCTTCCCAGAATGATTAATTTGGACAGGAAGCAGTTTTAATAGGTAAGATTGATCACTATTAATAGGTTCTTTTAAAGATAGGATATGAGGAGAGGGTCCAACATGGCAGAGAAGTAGGGGGAATCAATACTTCCCATGCCTCTCAAACAAAGAAGTGTAGAAACTAAAGGACTTTGAACACCAGAGCCTGGGAGGAAAAGAGACTGAATCTACCAGGAAGAAAATGGGAAAGCTGGAAAAAAGATAGGTTGGTAACTGCGAATTGGGGGAGATAAAAAAAAAGGCTGCATGGGCACAGAGGGGAGGGACCCCCTTCTGCAAAGAGACAAAGGGAAGAGAAAGAGTGGCTAGGGAAGTGCAGGACTGTATCTAGACAGGAGAAAGACCTCGGACTGGGATTGAGACTGAGAGGGATCTGACCTCTAACTGCAGGGCTTTCTTCCGACTGGGGCTGGCTCCCTGTTCATGCACCTGGACTGGAGGGGAGCCAGCCCTGGATGTGGTGGTAGGCCAGAGCTCAGTCCACAGTTGGAGAAAGTGGTTCCCTCCCTGGAGGGCTGCATGATAGTACAGAACCTGCCTGCATCCTCCACCCCTTCGGCACAGTGGCTGGGCCAAGGGCGCAGTCTGCAGGAGAAAAAGGCAGCTGTCTCCCTGGAGTGCTGTGGGAAAAGACAAAGCCTGCCTGCATCTGCCACCCTGTGGGCTCGCAGCGAGGGCAGCAACTGAGTCCGCAGTAGGAGAAGGCTGTCCTCCCTGAAGTGTAGAGGCACAGACAAAGCCAGTCGAGACCACATATCGCCGCACTGAGAGGTGCTTCCCCAGCGCCAGAGCGCACTGAGCTAGACTTTGAATCCTAGCCAAGCACAGAGTCAGGGGAGTTGGCCGAGTGGAGCCAGAAGGACCCCCCCGTCTGCGCCCCGGCACAGTGAGGACTACTCAAACTGAGTCCACCAGGTCTGGCTCTGTGGAGAAGAGACTGGGGAATTGCCATTCCCTCCCCACCCCCATCCCACCACCACCACCAAAGTGAGGCCTCAAGGATCACTCCCAGGGCCCATAGTGGAGGTGGGTTCAGAATACGCCAAACCATGCCTCCTTGCACTGGGTAACTGCATATCCAATTGATTGGCACAGACCCTGCAGACAGGTCCTCCCGACAAGCAATGCAGCATTGCCTGGATTAACTCTAGGTCACTTATGGATATATAGATATATTCTCCCCCCACCCCCAATTTCTTCTCCTTATCTCTTCTCTCCCCTAGGCTGGTTACTCTGGTTATTGGGCTGTCTAAACAGACATACTTAATCCATTGTCTTGATACATGTTCTACACCTCCTTTACATTCCTTTCTCTCTCTCTGGAATAATCAAGCCATATAATTTCTCTGTCTGGGTAACTGTATCTTCGTTTCATTTCCCCCGCTTCCTTCTTTATTTTCCTTTCTCTCTCTCTGGATTAAGCCTTTTAGTCTCTCTGCCTAATCAATGTTTATTTTTTCTCCCCCTCCCCCCCGCCCCCACCACGCGTTCCTATCATTTCTCTCTTTGTATATGCTTTTCCATCAGCACTGCCTCCACTTTCTTCTTCACCTGTAGTCGGTGCTTTTGGGTTTTTTGTTTTTAGTCTTTAAGTTTTTGTTTTTGTTTATTTGCTTGTGTTATTTGTCTGTGTGTTTGCATGTTTTTGTCTCCTGTTTGTCTATCTGTTTTCCTTTGCAGGGCCACTCCAAGGAACAAATCAAAGCACATCTGGTGGAGGGTCCAAAATATCATTACGAATAGGGTAATAAAATAACCAAAGTCACAACAACAGAGAGCAAGTAACAATCTCTGAAAAAACACCTCCTGAAGGGCCAGGCCCTGGGCAGTGTATGACCCTCCTTTAATATAGCAGTGCTCGCAGGTGCAGGGCAAACAACAAACATTTAAAACGCATAAGGGACAGAAAACTAGCCAAAATGATGAAACGGAAAAATTCTCCTCAAAAGAAATTACAGGAAGTAGTGACAGCTAACGAATTGATCAAAACCGATTGAAGCAATATAACAGAACAAGAATTTAGAATAATAGCCATAAAATTAATTGCTGGGCTTGAAAAAAGCATAGGGGACAGCAGAGAACCTATTGCTACAGAGATCAAGGGACTAAAAAATAGTCATGATGAATTAAAAAATGCTATAAATGAGGTGCAAAATAAAATGGAGGCTGCCACAGTGTGGATTGAAAAGGCAGAGGAGAGAATAGGTGAATTAGAAGATAAAATTATGGACAAAGAGGAAGCTGAGAAAAAGAGAGATACAAAAATCCAGGAGTACGAGGGGGAGAATTAGAGAACTAAGTGATGCAATCAAATGGAACAATATCCCTATCATAGGAATTCCAGAAGAAGAAGGAGAGAGAGAAAGGGGCTGAAGGTGTACTTGAACAAATCATAGCTGAGAAGTTCCCTGAGGAAGGGAAGGCATCAAAATCCCTCTGGGGAAAGAAACAGGCATCAAAATCCAAGAGGCAGAGAACTCCCTTCAGATGTAACTTGAATTGATCTTCTGCACGACATATCATAGTGAAACTGGCAAAATACAAGGATAAAGAGAGAATTCTGAAAGCAGCTAGGGATAAATGGGCCTTAACACACAAAGGTAGACGCATAAGGGTAGTAGCAGACCTATCTACTGAAACTTGGCAGGCCAGAAAGGAATGGTAGGAAATCTTCAATGTGATGAACAGAAAAAATATGCAGCCAAGAATCCTTTATCCAGCAAGTCTGTCATTCAGAATAGAAGGAAAGATAAAGGTCTTCCCAAACAAACAAACACTGAAGGAATTCATCACCACTAAACCAGCCCTACAAGAGATCCTAAGGGGGACTCTGTGAGTCAAATGTTGCAAGAACCACAAAGGACCAGAGACACCACTACAGGCATGAAACCTACAGACATCACAATGACTCTAAACCCATATCTTTCAATAATAACACTGAATGTAAACGGACTAAATGCTCCAACCAAAAGACATAGGGTATCAGAATGGATAAAAAAACAAGACCCATCTATTTGCTGTCTACAAGAGACTCATTTTAGACCTGAGGACACCTTCAGATTAAAGTGAGGGGATGGAGAAAAATCTATCATGCTACTGGAAGTCAAAAGAAAGCTGTAGTAGCCATACTTATATCAGACAAACTAGACTTTAAAGGCTGTAACAAGAGATTAACAAGGGCATTATATAATAATTACAGGGCCCATCCACCAGGAAGAGCTAACAATTATAAATGTCTATGTGCCGAATATGGGAGCCCCAAAATATATAAATCAATTAATCACAAACATAAGCAACCTTATTGATAAGAAAGTGGTAATTGCAGGAGACTTTAATACTCCACTTATAGCAATGGATAGAACATGTAGACAGAGAATAAATAAAGAAACAAGGTCCCTGAATGTTATATTGGATCAGTTGGACTTGACAGATATATTTAGAACTCTGCATCCCAAAGCAACAGAATATACTTTCTTCTCGAGTGCACATGGAACATTCTCCAAGATAGATCACATACTGGGTCACAAAACAGCTCTTAATAAGTATAAAAGAACTGAGATCATACCATGCACACTTTCAGACCACAATGCTATGAAACTGGAAATCAACCACAGGAAAAAGTCTGGAAAACCTCCAGAAGCATGGAGGTTAAAGAACATCCTACTAAAGAATGAATGGGTCGAGGTGCCTGGGTGGCTCAGTCAATTGAGCGTCTGACTTTAGCTCAGGTCATGATCTCACACTCCGTGAGTTCGAGCCCCACATTGGGCTCTGTGCTGACAGATCAGAGCCTGGAACCTGCTTCAGATTCTGTGTCTCCCTCTCTCTCTGCCTCTCCCCCGCTCATGCGCTCTCTCTCTCTCTCTCTCTCTCTCTCTCTCTCTCTCTGTCAAAAATAAGCATTAAAAAAACAGTTTTAAAGAATGAATGAGTCGGGGCGCCTGGGTGGCTCAGTCAGTTAAGCATCAGACTTCAGCTCAGGTCATGATCTCACAGTTTGTGAGTTTGAGCCCCGTATCAGTCTCTGTGCTGACAGCTCAGAGCCTAGAGCCTACTTCAGATTCTGTGTCTCCCTCTCTGTCTCTGCCCCTCCCTTGCTTGCAGGAACACATTCTCTCTCTCTCTCAAAAATAAAATAAACATTAAAAATTTTTAAAAAAAGAATGAATGGGTCAACCAGGCAATAAGAGAAGAAATTTAGAAGTATATGGAAACAAATGAAAATGAAAACACAACAATCCAAACGCTTTGGGATGCCGCGAAGGCAGTCCCGAGAGGAAAATACATTGCAATGCAGGCCTATCTCAAGAAACAAGAAAAATCCCAAATACAAAATCTAACAGCACACCTAAAGGAAATAGAAGCAGAACAGCAAAGACACCCCAAACCCAGCAGAAGAAGAGAAATAATAAAGATCAGAGCAGAAATAAA